TTTTTGTATTCTTAGTAGAGACGGGGTTTCACCATGTTGACCAGGATGGTCTCGATCTCTTGACCTCGTGATCCACCCGCCTCGGCCTCCCAAAGTGCTGGGATTACAGGCTTGAGCCACCGCGCCCGGCCCCAGCTAATTTTTTTTCTATTTTTAGTAGAGATGGGGTTTCACCATGTTGACCAGGCTGGTCTCGAACTCCTGATCTCAGGCAATCTGCCCGCTTCAGCCTCTAAAGTGCTGGGATTACAGGCGTGAGCCACCAGGCCTGGTGAATATTTGTCATTAATTTAGCCAATTATCGGCCGGGTGTGGAGGCTCACGCCTGTAATCCAAGCACTTTAGAGGCCAAGGCCGGAGGATCACCTGAGGTCGGGAGTTCATAGACCAGCCTGACCAACATGGTGAAACCTCGTCTTAAAAAAAAAAAAAGAAAAAAACATTTAGCCAATTATCTTGTCTTCTTGTTTTGGTGTTATAACCATCGTTTCAATCAATAGCTTTTAAATGATGTCGTTTTTCTCATTGTTAACTTTTAACTTATGATAAATTTCTGACCGTAGAATTGTTGAAGAAAAAAATATTAGTTTTTTTTTGTTGTTGTTGTTTTGAGACGGAGTGATGCTCTATCGCCCAGGCTAGAGTACAGTGGTACGATCTCAGCTCACTGCAACCTCTGCCTCCTGGGTTCAAGCGATTCTCCTGCCTGAGCCTCCCAAGTAGCTGGGACTACAGGTGAACATCACCATGCCCAGCTAATTTTTGAATTTTTTTTTTTTTAGTAGAGACAGGGTTTCACCATGTTGATCAGGACGATCTCCATCTCTTGACCTCATGATCTGCCTGCCTCGGCCTCCCAAAGTGCCAGGATTACAGGTGTAAGCCACCGTGCCTGGCCAGTATTAGTATTTTTAAAGCTGTAAATACATATAGACAAAACGCTCTTCAGAAGAGCTGTGTTCTTGTAGAATATCAGCAAGTCACAGGAAGGAACATCTCTGTTTTTTTACTTTTTGTTTGTTTGTTTGTTTTTGAGTCAGAGTCCCGCTCTGTTGCCAAGGCTGGAGTGCAGTGGCATGAGCTCAGCCTCCTGGGTTCCAGCAATTCTCCTCCCTCAGCCTCCCAAGTAGCTGGGACTACAGGTGTGGGACATCACGCCTGGCTAACTTTTTGTATTTTTAGTAGAGGCACGGGTTTCACCATGTTGGCCAGGCTGGTTTCAAAGTCCTGACCTCAGGTGATCCGCCTGCCTCAGCTTCCCAAAGTGCTGGGATTACAGAGGTGAACCATTGTGCATTGTAATCTAACCTAACTGGAGAACTACACCTTTATTTATTTTTTCTTTTTCTTTTTTTTTAAATTTATTTTTACAGTACTTTGAGTTGCTGTTTAAGAGAACTACACCTTTAATTGCCTCAACCAAGCTGAATGCATCTAAGCATGACTGTCTATGAAAAACAAGTTCAAATAAAATTCTTAAATGATGGCATTTTTACATATCGTGCTGTGGTTAAGGTCCAAAATCTGAAAGATTTTCATTCTAGCTGTAGCTGTTCTATGACAAATAAGGATAATTTTCAACAGCATTATCTTAGTGACCAAGTCATCACCTTCCTTCCTCCTCTCCTCTCCCCTCCCCTCCTCTCCTGTTCTCTCCCTGGAGTCTCCTTCTGTCACCCAGGATGGATCAGGGACACCTCCAAAGGTCAAATAGGGTGGAAACAACCTCCCTTCCTCCCTCCCTTTCTTCCTTCCTTCCTTCTGATGGAGTCTCCTTCTGTTGCCCAAGTTGGAGTGCAGTGGTGCAGTTTCAGCTCACTGCAGTCTCCACTGGATCAGGGACACCTTCAGAGGTCAAATAGGGTGGATCGATCCTCCCTCCCTCCCTTTCTTCCTCCCTCCCTCCTTCCTTCCCTCCCTTCCTCCCTCCCTCCTTCCTTCCTTCTCTTCCTTCCTCCCACCTTCCTTCCCTCCCTCCCTCCTTCCCTCCTTGCTTTCGATGGAGTCTCCTTCTGTCGTCCAGGCTAGAGTGCAGTGGTGTAATCTCAGCTCACTGCAACCTGCACCTTCCAGGTTTAAGCGATTCTCCTGCTTCAGCCTGCAGAATAGCTGGGACTACAGGCAGGTGCCACCATGCCCAGCTCATTTTTGTATTTTTAGTAGAGACGGGGTTTCACCATGTTGGCCTGGCTGGTCTCGAACTCCTGACCTCAGGTGATCTGGGCCTTAACCTTCCAAGTGCTGGGATTACAGGTGTGATCCGCCACAGCCCGCCTAGGCTGGATTTTTGAATCTGAGGGCTTCAAATCATAGTGGTTTGAAACCAGCCTGTCCAACATGGTGAAACCCCTGGCTCTACTGAAAATACAAAAAAATTGGCTGGGCGTGGTGGTGCACACCTGTGATCCCAGCTACTTGGGAGGCTGAGGCAGGAGAATAGCCTAGTGGATGCATTGTGGCCAGGGCTGGGGGGTTTTAGGTTGGAAAACTAACCTGCACATGTACTCCTGAACCTGAGTGTGCGTGCGTGCGTGCGTGCGTGCGTGCGTGTGGCATTGTGGCCAGGGCTGGGGGGTTTTAGGTTGGAAAACTAACCTGCACATGTACTCCTGAACCTGAGTGTGCGTGCGTGCGTGCGTGCGTGCGTGCGTGTGGCATTGTGGCCAGGGCTGGGGGGTTTTAGGTTGGAAAACTAACCTGCACATGTACTCCTGAACCTGAGTGTGCGTGCGTGCGTGCGTGCGTGCGTGCCTGTGTGTGTTTTAAGAAAACATTTCAGGCCAGGCACGGAGGCTCACGCCTGTAATCCTAGCACTTTGGGAGGCCGAGGTGGGTGGATCACCTGAGGTCAGGAGTTCAAGACCAGCCTGGCCATCATGGTGAAACCCCACGTTTATTTAAAAAAAAAAAAAAAAAAAAAAAAAAAGAGAAAGAAAGAAAAAAAGAAAACACTTCAGTTGTAAATTCTAAGAGGAATTTCTGTTAGGTTGAATTCACTTTGCACTTTGGAATCTCGCTGGCATCTTCCGTTTTTTTGTGGCTTAACGGTTGACCAATAGGTTCAGTTCAGTTCTCATTGATACAGGTCTTGAAAATGCTTTTTTTTTCTGGAAAACAAATGACCAAAGTCATTACTGTACCCGCGAAAGGTAAATATATTTCGATTAGTTTCTGCAGACACCTGATTCTTATTCTGACACCAGTCTTGGCGTGAGACGTGAGCGCCAAGACCCTTCTGGGGCAGCTGAGAGACAGGCCAGGGTACACTTTGGCGTCGCTGAAACCCCGCCGCCGGACGACGAGCCCACAAGGGCGCATGCGCCGGGCGTGCGCCCGCGCCGGACACGCCCAGCAATTCCAGTCTGAAAAAGAAAGGGGCGGAGTCGGCTCCAGGCCCCGCCTCCTATTAAGGTGCGCTCTTGGCCCGGGCTGGTTTTCCGCTTGGCGAGGGGTTACTTCCGGGTCGGACCCCGCTAGCTGCGGGAGCTGAGTGTGGCAGTACTGGGCGGGCCAGCCGGGTGGGCTGCGGCCCGCGCGCTGCCGGCGATGCAGGGGGACAGCTCCGGGGCCCGCGAGCGCGAAGAGGAGGGCGAAGGGGCAGGGGCTTTGGCTGCGCCGCCGGCTATTGACTTTCCCGCCGAGGGCCCGGACCCCAAATATGATGGTGAGGGACCGGAATGCGGCGTCGCCGCTCTGCTGTCTCCGTCCACCTGCGTTTCTGGGCGGTCCAGGGGGGGCCCCGAGGTTTGCGTCAAGACCTGGGCAAATTTGGCTGCCTCCGGGCTTGAACCGGGGAGCCAGCCGGGGGTGGGGCGGCGGGCGGGCCATCAGGGTAAGGTAAATATTTATTGAAAAAAACGTCTGCTTCTCGCTCCTTTGACTACATTTCTGTTCCTTTGTTTTCTCTCTGGGAACTGAGGCCTTCGGATGGCTGGGGTCATCCCTGAGGCCACCGTCCTGCCCCCAAACCTTGTGTTTTTGTCATTTATTGAGAACGATCTCCGTTCATTAATGCAATGAGACTTCGCAAACTGTGCTGAATAGTTTGCGTTGAGAGTTGTAATTTGTAGCTTTTGTTTTTTGCTTCATTGATGGGAGAACTAAAGATTTCTCATAGTGAGGCAGCATGGAAATAAATCAGCTTCTTTGGTTTAAAGAATAAAAAGGCCCAAGGTTTTTTGTTTTTTTTGAGACATCGTGCCCTGTCACCCAGTCTGGAGTGCAGTGGCACAATCATAGCTCACTGCAGCCTCCAACTCCTGGGCTCAAGTAATCCTCCAGTCTCAGCATCCCGAGTACTGGGACCACAGGTGCACACCACCATGCCGGGCTAATGTTTTGATTTTTTTTTGTAGAGATGGGGTCTTGCTGTGTTCCTCAGGCTGGTCTGGAAGGCCTGGCCTCAATCTCTTCTCCCGCCTTGGCCTCCCAAAGTGCTGGAATTACAGATGTGAGCCACCACTCCCAGCGCCCAAGTTTTCTTGAGGCGTTTGGTTACTAGGAGAAGTAGCATAGCTAAGTTACTTAGCCTAGAGTAGGAGATGCTTAAAACATTGACTGTAACTAGGTAAAAGTGTCCATAATTTTGATGAAAGTGAAATAGAGTCTTTAGTTGCTGCCAGGTGTTTTGGCAATATTAAAAATCGTGCTATCAAGAATGAATACATTGGCTGATCAGGGTGGCTCCTGCCTGCAATCCCAGGATTTTGGGAGGCTAAGGCAGGTGGATCACCTGAGGTCAGGAGTTCAATACCAGCCTGGTCAACGTGATGAAACCCTGTCTCTACTAAAAATACAAAAATTAGCCGGGTGTGGTGGCAGGCGCCTGTAATCCCAGCTACTTACTTGCAAGGCTGAGGCAGGAGAATCACTTGAACCCAGGAGACGGAGGTTGCAGTGAGCCGATATCACACCACTACACTCCAGCCTGGGAAACAGGAAGACTAAATAAAAAAAAAAAAAAAAAGAATACATTGATTCAGGGATTTTTTTTTGTTTGTTTTTTAATGGAATGCTTCAGGAATTTGTGTTTCATCCTTGTGCAGGAGCCACACCAGTCTTCTCTGTATTATGCCAGTTTTTAGTATATGTGCTGCTGCATTGAGCATGATTCAGGGAGGCTTTAACTATATGGTAGTTCCTATAGAATGAGAATACACATTGATTTGAAGCATAAAACAAAACAAATATGTTGCAGTTGATTTAAAGGTGCAAATTGTTCCCGTAAGAGAAAGCATATGAGAAAAAATAAACGTGCAAACTAAGTTGAAATGGTTTTGATTGATTCAAATGGAATAAATACATGGAAATGTTGTTGCACTTTTAGCCTTAACACAACCTATAATTTTTTTTTTTTTGAGATGGAGTCTCACTCTGTTGCCCAGGCTGGAGTACAGTGGCATGATCTCAACCTACTACAGCCTCCACCTCCCAGGTTCCACCTGTTCTCCTGCCTCAGCCTCCGGAGTAGCTGGGATTACAGGCATGTGCCATCATGCCTGGCTAATTTTTTTTTTTTGTATTTTTAGTAGAGATGGGATTTCACCACGTTGGTCAGGCTGGTCTCGAACTCCTGACCTCGTGATCTGCCGTGCCTGGCCTATTTATTTATTTATTTATTTAAAGAGATGGGATTTTGTTTTGTTGCCCAGTCTGATCTTAAACTCCTGGGCTCAACAGATCCTCCTGCCTCAGCTTCCCAAAGTGCTAGGATTATAGGCATGAGCCACTGTGCCCAGTCAAGCCTATAATTTTTGACCGTAAAGAGAAGCAAGAGCAGAGTGTGGTGGTAATTCAAATAGAAAAAAAGTTACAGGGTGTGGTGGCTCACACCTGTAATCGCAGCACTTTGGGAGGCTGAGGTGGGCAGATCACCTGAGGTCGGGAGTTTGAGACCAGCCTGACCAACATGGAGAAACCCCATCTCTACTAAAAATACAAAATTAGCCCAGCATGGTGGTGCATGCCTGTAATCCCAGCTACTCATGAGGCTGAGGCAGCAGAATCGCTAGAACCTGGGAGGCGGAGGTTGTGGTGAGCCAAGATCACGCCATTGCACTCCAGCCTGGGCAAAAAGAACGAAACTTCATCTCATAAAAAGAAAAACAAAAAAATTTTAACAATGATTTTTTTAGTGGACAAACAACTTTTCCCCCACATGTAAGGTGGTATATGATAGCTTAATAATACGGAAAGTGTTATGTCATAGGAAAAGTCCCAACTGTAAACATGCAAGTGTGCCATTTCTGTAACATTGTGATAAGGGTTTCTGCAAACTAAAGATTATTCTTGAAGGGAGTGATCTTAGATAAGCTTTTAAAATTTTTCCTTTCCTGGGTTACCGATAATACTGTTGTGCTGATGCATGGCCTTTTCTCCCAGAATGTCCAGACACAGTTTGTGTTTAAAAAATTTTTTTAGAGATAGAATCTCGCTCTGTCACCCAGTGCAGTGTGTGATCAGAGCTCAGTGCAGCCTTGTTTTCTCAGGCTCAACCTATCTTCACTTCTCAGCCTCCCAAGTAGCTGGGTCTACAGTTGCGTGCAACCATGCCCAGCGAATTTTCTGTATTTTTTCTTTGTAGAGACAGGGTCTCAGTATGTTACCCAGGCTGGTTTTGGACTCCTGGGCTCAAGCAATTCTCATGCCTTGCCTTTTCAAAGTGCTGGGATTACAGGCATGAGTCACCACCCCTGGCCCCTTTTCTTTTTTTTTCTTTTTCTTTTTTTTTTTTTTAAATTTTAGAACACTAGAATTCCACCTGATCATTTTTCACTAGATGTAAAAATGGAATAGCTAAAAAATAGGTAGTCCGTATGATTTGAATAAGTCATTCTGCCGGTTAATGGCAGAGTCAGAAAATTCAAAACCTAAATGTAACTTTAACATTTTTGCCAGTTTATTAAATGGAGTTTGGTTCTGTCACCCAGGCTGGGCTGCAGTGGTGCAATCTCTGCATAATGAAACCTCCACCTCATGGGTTCAAGGAAGTCTCCTGCCTCAGGCTCCTGAGTAGCTGGGGTCACAGGTGCATGCCACCATGCCCAGCTAATTTTTGTACTTTTAGTAGAGACGAATTTCACCATGTTGTCCAGGCTTGTCTTGAACTCCTGACCTCAGATGATCCGCCTGCCTTGGCCTCTCAAAGTGCTGGAATTACAAGTGTGAGCCACTGCGCCCAGTTTTTTTTTTTTTTTTTTTTTTTTTTTTTTTTTTAACCTGTTTAATAATGTCTTAAACAGTAAGAGAGAATTTAGGACCTTCAGCCTTGGTGCCAACTCGTCTGTCTGCCTGGTCTCAAACAGTGCAGAGGACGGGCTTGGGTGTCAGTCTGATCTGCCTGGTTCACTGGTTCCTCAGTCTCTCTGAAATCAGTGTTTTCATCTGTAAAATGGGATGAACACTTACCTTATATTAATTTGTGAGGATTGAAGGAGATTGCATATGTATATCATACATAGTAGCACATGCTCATTGAGAAAAGTTTCAATTTTTCCTATCTTTTCTTCTCTCCTCTGCCCAACTCCCTCCCTCCCTCCCTTCTTTCCTTCCCCTCCTTTCCTTCCTTTCCTTCCTTTTCTTTCTTTTTTATGGAGTTTTGCTCTTGTTGCCCAGGCTGGAGTACAATGGCGTGATCTTTGCTCACTGCAACCTCTACCTTCTGAGTTCAAGTGATTCTCCTGCCTCAGCCTCCCGAGTAGCTGGGATTACAGGCATGTGCCACCATGCCCAGCTAATTTTGTATTTTTAGTAGAGACAGGGTTGGTCAGGCTGGTCTTGAATTCCCGACGTTAGGTGATCCACCCTCCTCGGCTTCCCAAAGTGCTGGAATTACAGGCGTGAGCCACTGTACCTGGCCCCAGTTAACTTCTTTCTTTGTGCCTGGGTCTTCTCAAAGGAAGGAAGCTATTCTAGTCCCACTTCCTTGCATATTTATTTATTTCTACCGTTAGACCCATCAGAAAACTGTTTCTCCTCTGTCTCATGGCATCTTTCTGCTGATCCTCCAGCTTCCAGGATTTAACTCCAGAGTCACTTCCAGAAAGCCTTTCTTGATTAACCCAACTCAGCATAACTGTTCTTGTGGTTTTTGTGTGCTTACATTTAAATAGTTTGTGTTTCATTAATTAGAGTATACTCTAAAAATTAAAACAATTAAACTGATGGAAATAGAGTAGAATGATGGTCACCAGAGTCTGGGAAAGATAGTGAGGGGGTAGGGGAGGATGGTTAATGGGTACAAAAATACAGTTAGAATGCATCGGATCTATTATTTGATAGCACAGCAGGGTGACTACAGTCAACAATAATTTACTGTACATTTAAAAATAAAAAGACGGCCGGGCACAGTGGCTCACACCTGTAATCCCAGCACTTTGGGAGCCAGAGATGGGTGGATCACTTGAGGTCAGGAGTTTGAGACCAGCCTGACCAGCATAGTAAAACCCTGTTTTGTCATTATGAGACAGGTTTACCATTAATTTAAATGTACTTTCTTTTTTAATTTTTAGAATCTGATGTTCCAGCAGAACTCCAGGTGTTAAAAGAACCTCTACAACAGCCAACCTTTCCTTTTGCAGTTGCCAACCAACTCTTGCTTGTTTCTTTGCTGGAGCACTTGAGCCATGTGCATGAACCAAACCCGCTTCGTTCAAGACAGGTGTTTAAGTGTAAGTAAGAAGGGTATATTAATCTTGCTAAATAAAGCTTGTGAAGTCTGGGCTCTGTGACTCAGGCCTGTAATCCCAGCACTTTGGGAGGCCGAGGTGGGTGGATCTCCTGAGGTCAGGAGCTTGAGATCAGCCTGGCCAACATGGTGAAACCCCATCTCTACTTAAAATACAGAAATTAGCTGAGTGTGTGGCAGGTGCCTATAATCCCAGCTACTTGGGAGGCTGGGGCAGGAAAATCTCTTGAACTGGGAGGTGGATGTTGCAGTGAGCTGAGATCATGCCACTGCACTCCAGCCTGGGTGACTGAGTGAGATGCTGTCTCAAAAATAAATAAATAAATAAATAAATAAAGTAAGCTTGTAAAAAAGAAAAAAAGACTATGCTGCCGTCCTCACTTATTTGTGGGAGCTAAAAATTAAAACAATTAAACTAATAGAGATAGAGTAGAATGATGGTCACCAGAGTCTGGGAAAGATAGTGGGGGTGGGGTAGGGGAGGATGGTTAATGGGTACAAAAATACAGTTAGAATGAATCAGATCTATTATTTGATAGCACAGCAGGGTGACTACAGTCAACAATAATTTACTATACATTTAAAAATAAAAAGACGGCCGGGCACAGTGGCTCACACCTGTAATCCCCGTACTTTGGGAGGCCGAGACGGGTAGATCACTTAAGGTCAGGAGTTCGAGAGCAGCCTGACCAACATGGTGAAACCCCGTCTGTACTAAAAGAATACAAATTTAGCTGGGCATGATGGCGCACACCTGTAATCTCAGCTACTTGGGAGGCCGAGGTAGGAGAATGGCTTGAACCCAGGAGTTGGAGGTTTCGGTAAGCTGAGATCATGCCACTGCACTCCAGCCTAGGCAACGAGCAAAATTCCGTCTCAAAAGAAAAGAAAAAGAAAAAAAGTATATTTGGATTGTTTGTAATACAAGGAAAGGATAAATGCTTTAGATGATGGATACCCCATTTATCCTGATGTGATTATTACACATCACATGAGTGTATCAAAATACCTCATGTACCCCCATAAATATATACACCTACTATGTACTCACAGAATACAAAATTAATAAAAGTATGTTGTTTAATGCTATGAGTCTGAAAAGCAGCTGGTATACAAAAATTGGAGTGAAATAAATATGAATGATGTCCCCACTTCAGTTCAGCTTATATTTTCCTTTGAGTAATTCCTTATGAATATGATCACTGTGAATCCCATAATTGCATAAAATTGAATAAATGAAAGATAGTTCTTTTGCATCTATAATATGATAATGCATACAATTTTTTTTTTCTTTAAGATGGAGTCTTGCTGTGTTGCCCAGAATGGAGTGCAGTAGTGCCATCTCTGCTCGTTGCAACCTCTGCCTCCTGGGTTCAAGTGATTCTCCTTCCTCAGCCTCCTGAGTAGCTGGGATTACAGGCA